TATGTGTGTGTGTGTGGTGAGTGTGTGTGTGTGTGCTGTGTGGTGTCGTGTGTAGTTGTGCGTGCGTGCCGTGCCTGCGTGTGTGTGTGTTCGTGCCGTTCGCGCGCGCCGCGCGCGCGCGTGTGTGTGTGTGTTTGTGTTTGTGTGTGTCTGTGTGTGTTTCGTGCGTTGTGTGTGTGTGGTGCTGCCTGTGTGTGTGTGTGCTGTGGTGTGTTGGTTCGTGCGTGTGTGTTCAGTGGCGTGTGTGTGTTGTGTGTGTATTGTTGCGTGCGGGCGTGCCTGCCGTGTGTGTGTGTTCGTGCGCGCGCGCGTTGTGTGTGTGTGGTGTGTGGTGTTGTGTGTTGTGTGTGTGGTGTGTGTGCTGTTCGTGCGTGGTGTGTGTGTGGTGTGTTTCGTGTGTGTGTGTGTGCGCTGATGTGTTGTGTGCGCTGTGTGGAAGTAGTGTGTTTGTTTGTGCAGTGCGTGCGTGGCGCGGCTGTGTGTGTTGGTTCGTGCTGTGCGCGCGCGCGCCTGCTCGCGCGTGTGTTGTGTTGTGTGTGTGTGTGTGTGTGTGTGTGTGTGTGTGTGTGTTGTGTGTGTTCGTGCCGTGTGTGTGTGTGTGTTTCTGTGTGTGTGTGTGTGATCGTGTGTGTGTCGTGTGTGTGTGTGTGTGTGTTTGTCGGTGCGTGCGTGCCTGCGTGCGGCCGCGCGCGCTGTGCTGTGTGTGTGCTGTGTGTGTGTGTGTGTGTGTGTTCGTGTGTGCTGTGTGTGTGTGTGTGTGTGTTTCGCTGCGTGTGTGCTGTGGGATCGTGTTGTGTGTGTGTGTGGGTTCGTGCGGGCGGATGGGTAGAATAGTTGTGTGTGGTGGTGTGTGTGTGTTGCTGTGTGTGTGTGTCGTGTGCGTGCATCCGTTATATAATCGTGTGTGTGTGTGTGTGTGTGTGTGTGTGTGTGTGTGTGTGTGTGTGTGTCTGTGTCGCCAGTCTGCTTTCGTTGATAGAGAGCACGAATTCCAAAAACGTAAAGAGAACTCGAGAGAGTTGCGTCCGAGACGGAGAAACATTTCAACGATGACCAATATCCATATATTCCTCGCCAATGTCGTAGATTTGATTACGTAACAGCGTTAGGGATTGTGCGCGCGTCGTACGGCGTCGCTATAACACTGCCCGACGTAACGTCTTTAGATCCGTCTGCGTAAACCAAACGTTAAACTAACGCATCTCTTATTTGCCGTCAGGGGAACATTTAAAACAAGAGAACGACGACGATTCGATTACCTAATCGATCGTCGGTTTCGAGCGGTTGGGGATTCGTGAAGTTCCAAAGAAGATTTCACTCACGAGAGTTCTCTGCCTCTTTCTCCCCATCGTGTCTCTTCTCGCCCCGTCAAATATCCCTTGTCTTTTTCACTTGTTTTCTCTTTTTAAGGTAAAAGAGAGATTATGTTGTGTTATTTGCTGGGGTTGCTTTTTCAGTTCCATTTGAAGTTGTGTTAATTTCTGGGGGTTCTTTTTCAGTTCCATCTGGAACACCAGTAGACGTTACTATCGTCGCAACGGGATCCCAGTCGCTAGAGGTCACCTGGAGGGTAAGCGCACAGAGATGGTGTTAACAGATTATATTCAACAAATAGTGTACAGTGGCTTCAGTTAGGAGAAGGTGGCTGCGTGCGGATATGTCACGTACACTAAAGCAGTGGTCGAAGGTTCATTCGTTCCTTCGTTCATACCTGCATTCACGCATTTATTTATCCATCCATCCATCGATCCATTTATTCAATCGTTCGTTCTTACTTTCGTTCATTCGTTCGGTCGGTCCGTCGTCTGATCGTCCGTCCGTTCCTTCCTTTCTTGCTTCCTTCCTCGATTCTATCCTTGTTTCCCTTCTACCTCCCCCCGCTT